CCAGATACCATCCCAGCATTGAGATGCTTTGGATTCAAAAGGGTCTTTTTGCTTCATGGCAAAAAGGAAACAGCACTCTCCCTTAATAAGTTATAAACTCTTCAAGAGCTGGGATAATACAGATAATTCATCTTGCTACCCCAGCACAAAATTTGGCCCATCAGATCCACGTTTGATCATTGATTGACTGAAAAGACAACACAGGATCCTGGACCTGGCACCCTCTCTGATTAGTTAAGTTTATGAGAATTTAGAAGGCAGGATCATGCAAGGCTAATTTAAAGTAGATGATCCACTTTCTGATTATTGCAAATGAATTAAACCATGTAATTCATCTCTTCATGTAGTGTGGGTATCATAATCTGTTTATACCAAACATTTAGAGGATCATTAGAAACAGATTCATTAAGAACAAAAGATCTGGAGGTCCAAACTGTTCCTGAAATTGAAATGTCCGCATGGAACATAGAAAAACAATTATGATGATTAATAAAATAAAATGCTAATTTAACAAGTAAGTAAATCTATGTGATAGCTGGCTAGCAGAAAAGACACATCTATGTTAGTGTTTGAGGGAAGTGGTATCTGAATGCTTCCAAACTACCTTCTCAGAATTCAACCTTACCTTCTCTGTAAGGACTGTGAGAATAGTACACTTCCAGAAAGGAACTAGATATTGTCAATTTTTTTTCCTTTGCAAGTGTTTCCCCCTTTTATAATTAATAATACCTGTATTTTCTATTGAAGGAGGAACCTTTAAAAACTACTTAGAATACAGGGGTTCAGTTTTAAATACAGAATGTTCAGCATCTGGTTCAAGTGCATCCACAGGTATTCTTTATCAATTGGCCAACTTCCCACCTGAGGCCCTACCCCCAAACATTCTTAAGTCTGGTGTAGTTTTAGTTAACACTTCTAGGGAGCTTATGATACTCTAGGCCAAGGGTCCTCAACCTTTTTAAACAAGGGGCCAGTTCACTGTCCCTTAGACATTTGGAGAGTGTGCACCGTGGGCCGGGGACAAGTCGGCTGCTAAGCAGGACAGGCAGCGGCAGCAAAAACACCCGGGGGGCTGGATAAATGCGTTAGGCGGCCCATATGTGACCCACAGGCTATAGTTTGAGGATGCCTGCTCTAGGCAATAATTTAAGCACTTCACAAACATTAAATATTAATAACTTCTCACAAAAGCCCTACTACTAACTAATAGTATAATACTAATCATAAACCCATTTTATAGATTGAGGAAAATGAGGGTCATGGAAGGTAAGTACTTTCCCAAGATCACACAACTAATAAGGCAAGAACCTTGACTTTCAACCAGGCCATCCAATTCTAGAGTTTGAATTCTCACCCACCATTCACAATTAGAATGAGTTCACTTCTTTACGATCCTGGGACACCAGGCTAGGAAGTCAGACCCCAGATTCTTCCAGCGGAAGCTCTTATCTTTGAAATGTCCTATCCTTGTGCCAGGACAATACCTGAGTTTACCCATCAGAACTTTTGCCATTGTTATTTTTGGTGTATGTAGAATAGGCCTATTCGGCAAGAAAGTATGAATCCAGTACCTGCTCTACTGACTTCTGGGATTCCATTATGTCATTATTTGACCATATGCCCAAAGCCTTTGACAATAGGCGCATTGATAAAAATATTGTTGTTTTTAGCTGAGGGCATTCTATACAGTGAGTCATTCTTATCAGAAAACAAATCCCATCAACTTCAAAACCATTTTCTCAGCCCCTCCTTTTTGTAGATCTGACATGCTTTCCCACAGAACATCTGATGGTAGAAAGCTTCACCAACTTGTAAAACCGGAAATGGCACAGGAGATCTGGGGAGGGTGGGAGGCAGGAAAGAATGACAGTCAAAGATCAACAAAGCCAAGTGCTTAGGATTTCTCTCTCACAGGCTTAGCAGGAGCATTAAGGGGAAGAGGGTTATTGATTACTCATCTCAAAGGGGCCCCAAGGTTTTTGTTTCTTTAAAGACCTTACACAGTAGAGGGTGTCTTGTAGGTAAGTGAGTCATCATTTCCAGGTTCTCAAAAAATCTCCTGAGCATGGAGTCTTCTAGGCAATGCAGTTTCTAGGCACTTCATTCATTTCTCCAATTCATTCATTCTTCCAAAATACATCTGCATTTTTTTTTTTTTTTGAGACAGTCTCACTTTGTTGCCCAGGCTAGAGTGAGTGCCATAGTGTCAGCCTAGCTCACAGCAACCTCAAACTCCTGGGCTCTAAAGCAATCCTCCTGCCTCAGCCTCCTGAGTAGCTGGGACTACAGGCATGCGCCACCATGCCTGGCTAATTTTTTCTATATATTTTTAGTTAGTCGATTAATTTCTTTCTATTTTTGGTAGAGATGGGGTCTCATTCAGACTGGTTTCGAACTCCTGACTTCGAGCAATCCGCCCACCTCAGCCTCCCAGAGTGCTAGGATTACAGGCGTGAGCCACTGCGCCCAGCCTACATCTGCATTATTTTTTAAATGCCAGTCATTGTCATAAGTACCAGGAATAAAAAAATTAACAGGACAAAATTCCTAACTCCAAGGGGCTAACAGTCTAAAAACAATGAAACAGATGAACTATACAAACACACTTTGAATACCAATGACCCAGGACCAGGAGAAGTTTGCTGAGCAGTCCGGATGGGACAGAGCATGGCAGACAGAGGGGGAAGAGCATGTTCAAATGTGCTGAGGAGTGCTCTCAGGAGGTGGGGGGGGGGGAGAGGGAGGAAAAGGGAGAACTGGAGAGAAAAGCCAGGCCAGAAATACGAGGGGTGGGATGGGTCAGGACCCGGAGACCTGGAAGCAAAGGGAATCAAGAAGTCAGAGATCTGAAGTTGCTGAAACTGGACAGAAAGCTAATTATTGATCTCAAAGAATTCTGAGAGCTGGAGCCAAAAGCCTGAAATAGCCGTAGACCAGGAGGGGTGAGTCCCCATCCCTACCAAAATCTCCATTAGCCCTCCCCCATCTCCCAAGTTTGGGGGATACAGTCCAAGTTTAAGAAGCACTGAGCTTGCTATGCAGACACTGTTTCAAGCCAAGTCTTACAGGGTTCCTTCCAACCAAGGAGCTTGTCCAAAAGCCCTTCTCTACAGAAATTCTAGAGCAACCACAGAGCCCCAGAAGGACAAAAGGAGAAAAAGATATGGCCTCCAAGACCTAAGTCTTAGTAATAATTGATAATAATTCTAGCTGATATTGATTGAGGATGTATTCAACCACAGTACCATACACTTTCCTCACATCCTGCTCTTGAATCTTTACAGTATCTTGCAAGGAATCCCATACAGACTGTCGCTTACATTGTAGCAATGTGTATTTGTTGTTGCAGAGATTTCTTCAGTACAAGAATTAACTGCTGTTAAATGTATCTTTTTACATATTTTTAAGTGTTACAAACTCAAAATACTCAGCCATTATAATATTTCTTGCCCTTGAAGAATGTTACCTTCTCAAAACTAAAATGTATATTAAAATACTTAAATTCTACAACGTCATAAGAAATGCTGTCAAATCTAGCAATCTTTTTTTTAAATAGAAAAAAAGTTATTGAAGTAAGCCTTGATAATAAAAGCATGACATTTGCATGCATACAACCAATTATTGAATCATACCGACTTTGATTTTCTAATTGTTAATTTGGAACTAATCACTAAATTTTATGATTTCATGTTCAATAATCTGTATAACTTTAAAGAACGATTTTATAATCATGGTTATTAGAGAAGGGAAGTGCATGCAAATGTTTTTTACTTAAGGGAAAAGCACCTTCCTGTGAGTCTCACAAAGCTTATTACATAAGCCAGCAGACCCAGAGAGAAGTTTTAGAACCTTCCTCTGTGGCCATGTGGAGCCTCTCTCTCCTGAGACCTACCCCTGCACAAATCAGTTTCATGAGCCAATAAATTCCTTTTTTTTTTTTTTTGTATAAGCTGCTTTGGTTCAAGTTTTCTATCATTATGCTGCCAAAAGAATACTAAGTGTTACAGAGCAACATGGTCAGATGTACTCTGGCAAGAGTCACGTCAGGGAAACCAGATATGAAGCTAATGACATGGTTCAAGAGAAAAAATGGTCACTGTCTGTGTAAGACGCCCACCGGGGGGACGGATTCAAGAGGTGCTCAAAGCTACAGTGGATAAGTAAGCCCTGGGGACAAATGAAGGGGGGAGAGCATGGGAGTAATCTAAACTGACTCCCATTTCTAACCACATTTATAGAATTTCATATGTGGTTAACTAAAAAAATATTAGAAATTTCCTAGACCTGGTCTACCCTCCCTCCTCCTAATAGGATTATTGTCAAATCAATCCAAACAATCACCCTAGAGACATCAGGCAGGCACAGCCATCCTGACGAAAGGAAGATCTTCGAATTTTTGGAGAGACATCACTCAACAACACTAAACCATAAAGAGCAAAAGGCAGACGATGATAAATGAGGAAATACACCTGGCTCAACTTAAGTGACAGCCATAAAATTAACCCCACTTAGGGTGTTTTCTAAAAACATAAATCTTCGAGTTGTCAGAGTGATGTTCAGCATGAAAATCACAACATATCCAGATATACCACATAGTCTAGTAATTAAATTGACTATCTGTCACCAGAAAGGACTTCTATTCCCACTGAATATATTATTAATACATCCACAAACCTGCCAAGCGGCTCAAACATGAGACAGGTGCTTTCAATGACTAGCTAAACACTGTCCCATTTCCTTCCATGACTGTAATTCCAAGAGTTGAAAAACAAACTCATCTTCACTGTTTTTGTATCAAGTAACCACATCCTCCCTCCCACTATCCCTAGAGTTCAAAATATGCATGTTATTAGTTTAAAATATACACGTTTAAACTAATTTAACATGAATAAATTTTAAATTTAAAAATTTTTAATTCTATGCATAGTAAATTCAAAGTTACAAAAATATACTGTAATCTAATGGACAAACTGGTGGTAGATGATATCAATGACACGAACTCTGCAACATTTTTTCTTTATTTCATATGAGCTGTATATTCACAAAGCTAAAATTAAAGCAATCAATTGAAGTTGTACTATACAAAACCCTCCAAGAAGTTTTTCACATGTTTCTGTCATTGACTTTATTTTGCTAGAGACAGCTCTTCATTCCAAATCTCTCTGTTCCAGTGGTCCCCAACTTTTTGGCACCAGGGACTGGTTTCATGGAAGGCAATTTTTCCATGGACCTGGGTATAGGGAGAGATGGTTTCAGGATGATTTAAGCACATTACATTTATTGTGCACTTTATTTCTATTATTATATTATAATATATAATGAAATGATTATACAATTCACATAGGTTGGAGGTCCCTGTACTCTGTTGGCTTCAAGAACACTACTCAGCTTCTATGCTATGCCAGGATGCTTCTGAACAACTCATTTGATCAAATATATATTTTTAAAGCTTCTACACAGGCAAAGAAACTATCATTAGAGCAAATAGACAACCTGCAAAATGGGAGAAAATATTTGCTCTCTACACATCTGATAAAGGTCTGATAACAAGAATCTATCTAGAACTTAAAAGAATCAACAAGAAAAAAATCAAACAAACTCCATCAATAAATGGGCAATGGAAATGAACAGAAACTTTTCCAAAGAAGACAGAATAATGGCCAGCAAACATATTTTAAAAAATGCTCAACATCTCTAATCATTAGAGAAATGATCGAGGATTTTTTTTAACCACTCATTGGTGTCACTTTGACCCACAGTCTGAACCAACATAATTGAGCATCCTTTAAAAAGCTCAGGATCTTGTTCTACATTTTTTCTTTCTAATCCTATTTCCTTTAATCCACATCCAGGCTCTGCTGCTAAGGAAATGCACTGCCAGGAAGTGCGATTCTCGAGGATGTTATTTCATTTTCTCACATTCCCCGTTAGCAGTTGTGATAGATCCGATACTTACAAACTAAAAGCACGAGGAGGATACATTGGCATGGATTCCTCCACACATCATGGCATATTTAACTCTGCTCTTCCACTTGTGAAAAAAAATGGTTACTTCTCTTCTGGTGAATTCCATGAAATGATTCTTCTCCAGCCATGGCGCGCAGCCCTGGCTGTGCATCAGCATCCCTGGGAGGTTGTTTAAACATACAGATGCCCAGGGCCCTGCTGCCAGGAACTCAGAAGCTGGAGCTGGCGTTTGTATATCTAAAAGCTCCACAGGTAACGTTGACAGGCAGCCAGGGTGGAGGACTGCTGCTCCACAACATGTCTGAAAGCTTCTCTTCTGAGGGAATGGAGACAAATGATATTCCTAAATTTTGAAAGAAGCGATTCGATATTAACCCATATTTTTGCGTTATGACTCAAATAAACTAGAATAAGATATGTAGAACATGGAGGATAGCTTTGCTCCCCTGCAGAATTGGACCTCCTGGTGGGCACAGGCTTCACCAGCCTCTGCTGAAGACCAGCTTCTACCCCGAGTCCCACAGATATCTGCTTCCTGGAAGTCCCAGCAAGGTGCTGGGTCACCTTGGTCTCTGAGATTTTTTTTTTTTTGAGACAGAGTCTCGCTTTGTTGCCCAGGCTAGAGTGAGTGCCGTGGTGTCAGCCTAGCTCACAGCAACCTCAAACTCTTGGGCTCAAGTGATCCTCCTGCCTCAGCCTCCCGAGTAGAAGGGACTACAGGCATGTGCCACCATGCCTGGCTAATTTTTTCTATATATTAGTTGGCCAATTAATTTCTTTCTATTTATAGTAGAGACGGGGGTCTTGCTCTTGCTCAGGCTGGTTTTGAACTCCTGACCATGAGCAATCCACCCGGGCCTCGGCCTCCCAGAGTGCTAGGGTTACAGGCGTGAGCCACTGCACCTGGCCTCTCTGAGATCCCCACTCCATTAACAGAGGAAAACTCAGACCTTCCCCATGTCTTTGGATGTACTGGGGGGCAGAACCCTCATTGTCCTAGGCTCTTTGGTCCCCAAATGGTGGCTTCCTCTAGATCCCTGGGTCCATCTCTGCCCTCCTGGCTTTGCCCCTGAGCATGCAGCCCCTTTTCTGCACCCCAGCACCCCACTGGATAAAGCTTGGACACTGCCCGGATTCCTAAAGCACCCCTGTCACAAAGGGGAATACTAGCACACCTGGAGTGTCGGTTTAGGCAGCATGGGTGGGCTACCCAGAGCATAGAACAGCTAAAAACTCCAAGTTCAATATTAGGAATCTTTGTTCCAAAAGTCCCTTGGCCATTCTTACTCCAGAAACGCCTCAGGGTCTGTCCCTCCGTGTAGAGCCCGCCCATCGCCAGGTCACACCCACTCCCCTCCACTGCCAGCCCCAGCCACCACGCCAGCCCAGCGACTTTCCCTGTGCAGCATCATGTGGCTCTTCCTCTGTCCCGAGCCCACGACATGACAGACCTTCCCTTATCAGTCTCCAAAACTCTCTCAAGTTATAGGAGAATCCAGAGTGACATTCTCCCTCTCTCAGGAACTTTGCCACCTGCTTTTAAACTAATTTCTTCTGTCCATGAAACTGGTCCCCAATGACCTAATAGGGAGGGCCCTGGAGGAATCACTAATTTTTCTAAAAATCTATAAGCTTGCTTTGAACTCTTGAAAGATTTAATAAATAGAAACAAGTAAGTCCTATCACCAACCTCTCAGGGGGGGGGGAATCTCCACGCCTTTACCAATTGCATATTAGGATCTTTGAATGTGGCATGTCTGAATTCTTCCTATTGGCACGGAAGCCTCCCTAATTATACATATATCAGTCAATTGACCGGGGTGAAGATTGTACACAGTTAGTCACAGATGGGCACATGGACACAGCTCAAGAGTCATTCAGTGAAACAACGGCTTAGACTGATCCTAGGAGGGACTGAGCTGTCACTGAGGTGATGTGTGGGTGACCGCAATAATCCCAGGGTCCTTACAATACTGGGCATGTTGGCAGCCCAGGCTCCCCAGTGAGTTCCTTTCCAGGAGTTACTCTTGGCCAGAGAAATCTGCCTCTCCCAAGACAATGCTCTCATGTCACCTTGATGCACCATGAAATTTTTGACAACTGGCTGGAGGGTGGAAGAGGAAGTCTGATTTGTAGTTTGCCAAGGTATCATGACTCCTCCTGCTAAGGTGGATTTCAAGCTATGACATGGGGTTGTTGAACATGAAATGGGGAGACACATGTACTGTCATCTTTGTGCCCCAATGGGATAGCCCACATCTCATGGCTGGTCAATGCAGGGGAGCAAAGGCCATCCCCTTGTCCCAGTTGGAATAACTCTGGGATGGGCCATCCTAGCTCTAGAACTTCCAGTGGGGTCAGCTGAGGTCTCAGCTACACCTTCATCGCATTTTCATTTCCACCCCAGCCCCATCCTGCACCCTCGCTGCCCTACAGGTGCTGCTCCAAAGAGATCTCCCCATCAACCATCTGCTCAAAGTCTCAGAGTCTTGGAGTCCACTTCCCAGGAAACCTGACCTAAGACGATTGGCTACATTTATCAACTGGATTTGCCAAAATTGGTTGTGTGAAGTTGACAAATCCTTAGGAGATTTTTAAATAGTCACAACTCCAGAGATGTTTACAAGGTGGTATTCAAAATAGTTAACACCTGCAAGGACATGGGGATCATGGGGTAGGCCAGCACACCTGGACCCATGTAGACCAGTTGCATGTCATTCTGGGTTTTGGTGACCTACGGTTACAGGTGTGGAGATGATATAAAAAGTGGATTTTTGAGCAGATGGCCAATTCTCTCCTTCTGCAGAATTGTGTTTGCCCTATCAACAGGGACAGATGCTAAGGCCTAGAGCACTAAGACAGAAGTGGCTGTTACTTCAACTATCTGCCTAATTTACAATAAAAGAATATAACTTCTGCTGCTTTTTGGGAACAGGTCTAATCTCCTTTCCTGTATTGGACTCTGTCTCTATTAAGTGTGTAGTGGAGAGAAAAAGTAGTTTTATATGTGGTGACCAGATCAACAGAGTATGTTTCTATGCTTTTTATTTTTTGTTATGTCTGGTTTTTTTGTTTGTGTGAGCGTGTGTGCTTTTTTAGATGGGGTCTCACCATTTTACCCAGGCTGGTCTCGAACTCTAGGCCTCAAGTGAACCTCCCACCTCAGCCTCCCAAAGTGCTAAGTTTACAGGCATGAATCACTGCACCTGACCTAATAAGAAAATTACAATGAAATACAAATTTTAAAAGTGACAAATACCACAAACATCACAAAATCTGGAAATTACTATAGTATTCTTATTAATTAACCGACACCTCTCTAAAATACTTTTTTCCCTACAATTTTTGGTTCCATATTCTTTAGATAGCATCAATTTTGTAATATTTTCATAGAGATCATACCAAGATAATTCAGTCCTTAGTAAGGTTGATCAAAATTTGTTTTTTCATTATGGATAGTTTAGAAAAGTTTCTTTCAACCTCACAGATTGTTATTGGTAACACCATGCAAATTTTTCAGACTGTTGTCAAATTTGGGAAAGGAAACTTTATCAGATTTTTTTTCAGATAGATTTGAAAGAATGTTGTATAGAGAAGCTTTTGGCTCCATGCATTTCAAACTTTTTCTTCTTCTGTTGGCTTCCTTTCAGTACCTTGCACCATAGTCTAGTTTCCTATCATGATTACAACATCTATCACTGCATCTATATTTCATGACACCAGATAATTGACAAAGTTGGCAGCAAGACGGTCTGTGCAAGTGACATTGAGAGAATGTGACCTATTCTACATACCTCATAATGTTTTTCTTTAATGTCAGTATTAAATGTGAATAGTTAAGAACCGCACTTTATAAATGGTAGATAACTTTAAAAATTAGTAGTCATTGTCTTTGTACAATTATATATAATGCATGCAAGCTACATTTATTCATTGTTGTTATTTTCGTAAGGTTAAAAAAAAAGATATCCTGGGAATTCCTATTACGTAATCTGTGTTCTTTTCTCAACCCACCCACATTCTAGAAACACAGATAACAAAACAACTGGCATAAACTTGGACAGAATAGAATTGATTCACCTAATTCTTCTTTGAACTTTGTAAAGTACCTCTTTTTTTTTTTTTTTTTTTGAGACAGAGTCTTACTTTGTTGCCCAGGCTAGAGTGAGTGCCTTGGCGTCAGCCTGGCTCACAGCAACCTCAATCTCCTGGGCTCAGCAATCCTACTGCCTCAGCCTCCCGAGTAGCTGGGACTACAGGCATGCACCACCATGCCCGGCTAATTTTTTGTATATATATTTTTAGTTGGTCAATTAATTTCTTTCTATTTTTGGTAGAGACGGGGTCTCGCTCAGGCTGGTTTCCAACTCCTGACCTTGAGCGATCCGCCCGCCTGGGCCTCCCAAAGTGCTAGGATTACAGGCGTGAGCCACCGCGTCCGGCCAAGTACCTCTTAAAATATTGAAAACGTTTTCTTCAATAAGTAATAGTATCATTGGTAAATGTATACCTAGAGCAATTTATCTAGCTTCCTAAGAATTTCTGCTCAGACCACAGAAAACTCCCTGCAGGCTAGGAATGGCATGTTTGAGTTAATAAGTTTGGCAATGCATTTATTTGAAGCATATTTGCATAGCCATTTAGGAAAACTAGTGCTGCAAGATTGGGGAAAAAAGTTCTTGGGAATAAAGATCTTTATGCTCTTAGAGATTCCTGAATGAGCTTGTTACTGGAGGTACTTTCAAAAATCTGCCCTTATTACTATGCCAATTGTTCTCTTGCAACCAGGATTCTCGATGAGCTAGAGTTACAGTGCTGTTCCCTCATTACTGGCAAATCATCCCTTCCTCTAAGACATTCTCTGTATGGTCATTAGCCAGCCCAGATGGCCACAAGCTCCCACATCAAATTTTCAAAAATCCTGAACTAAGTATATTCCCTGGAGGATGCACCATCATCTATATAAGTTACTGTAAAAAAAAAAAAGACTGAGAAATTGCTTTTACAAAAAAGTTCTCCAACTTGTGGACTGAAATTGCATGAGTGTTCATCTAGGCAGTAGCATTTCTCACTTCATTTATCTAAGAGTGGCCAGCAGATAATTTTCTATATTTGTGGAACTGCAGCAAAGGCGTTATTACTCTCTCTGTAATTGGAACAGAAGAGTGAGACCGAATGATGCAGAGGAGTAGAAGGAGAAAATAACAGTATTTTATATGCTAACAACAGCTTTTGCAACAGGTCTGAATGCAACCTGTTTCTGTAATGGGAAAATAGTGACCCAGCAAAAATACCCAGATGGCCTTTCAGAAAGAACATGCGTTGTTCGTTCTGACTGCCCAGGATCGGATCTGAAGCTCCTTCCTGCATCTGACGACCTTCCCACCTAATGTGTCTGAAAGCTCGGGCCGATCGTGCCAGATCCTTGCTCTTCCAGGCTCTGTGGCAGCCAGCGTGCAGGCAGGTGGCAAGAGCAGCAGCCGCGGTGGAGCTGCTCGCTCTCTGATGTCAGCAGCTGCCTCATTTCTGGAATAAGTCCCTTGGCCCAAAACTGTCCACCAAGTCTGATTCCCCCAGAAGAAGACCCTGAGATAATAAGCCTTTGAAGGCAAGTCTTTTATTTGGGATGTGAGCTCAGGAAGCACTGGATGGAAATTGGGGCACAGAAAATGCCAATAAAGTACCTCGATGAACAGATTACCCCTGTGAGCACTTGAGCCACAGTCGTGCTGGGGGCCTCCAAGAGATGGTTTAGAACAGCGGACCCCAACCTTTTCGGCACCAGGGACCATTTTCATGGAAGACAATTTTTCCATGGAGTTGGGGGTTGGTTTCAGGATGATTCAAGCACATTATATTTATTGTGCACTTTGTTTCTATTACATTATAATATATAATGAAATAAATATACAACTCATCATAGGTTGGGGACCCCTGGTTTAGAGCAAACCTCAGAGTTACCCCCACTGAGGGGTGAGAAATCTGTTATGGACTGAATGTGTGTGTCCTGCCACAAAATTCCTATGTTGAAACCCTAAACTCAGTGTGAATGTATTTGGAGTAAGGAAGTATAATAACCAAAGTTAAATGAGGTCTTAACAGCGGGGCCCTGATCCAATAGGATTAATGTCTTTATAAGAAGAGACACTAGAGAGCTAGTGTACTCACTTGCCAACATGTTCTCTCTTCTCTCCTTCTTCCTCTATCTCCCCACCCATACACACACACACACACACACACACACACACACACACACACACACGAGGAAAAGTCACATGAGGACACAGCAAGAAGGTGGCCATCTGCAAGCCAGGAAGAGAGCCCTCACAAGAAACCAAAGGGGCCAGAACCTTGGTCTTGATCTTGGACTTCAGCCTCCAGAACTGTAAGAAAATAGACGTCTATTGTTTAAGCCCCCGCAAGCTGTGGGATTCTGTTAGGACAGCCCGAGCAGGTTAATGCCTTCTCTGATTCTCTTTTGTCCTGAGGGCATCATCACTCCAGGACAACCTAGGGTGAGCAGAGCGTTGTCAGAGGCAGCCCTCAGGTGGAGAATCACAGGTACTTTCAGGAGCCATCATCAAGGAGGGAGCTGCAGGTGCCAAGGGGCCACGGGCAGGGCACAGTCTGCTGCAGTTACCATCATCAAACTATGACATTTAGAGCTCAATGGCAGCAGAAGTGGCTTTTTCACCAACCAAGCTCTGTTGCATCATTTTCATCCCTTTTCCTGGCTGCCCAGCCTTGCACCAGAGTCCTGCCCTACAAGATTGCAGAGAGCTACCTTTTCATAAGTTACTTTTCTGCTTCAATCAGTCTGTTTCTGCTGTATGCAACTATGAATGCTCGCTGTGGACTCCAGGTTATGTCTAGACATGAGAACAGGAATTGATCAGTCTCATCTGCATCTTACCATCCGAAATTATGACAGCAAAGGAGTATAATTCGTGACTGAAAAAGGCAAATTAGTAGATGACCCTGAAGGGGGGGGGATGCCTTTTACAAAATAAGATTGCAAAATCTGCCCTAAATGTATATCAAAAGACTTAACATTTGTTTATCATGTGGTCCAGCAGTTCTATGTTTAGCTAATTTATCCTAATAACTGGACAGGAGTTGAATGTGTATTATGATGAATACATAATTTTTAGGGCATTGTATTAACATAATAGCAAAAAAATTAGAAACCAAAGATCCAAAATCAGGAGAATATTTAAATAAATTACAATATATCTATAGAGGAATACTTTGCAACTATTAAAAGTGACATCGCAGAAGTACATTTTTTAATATGAAAAAATGTTCATGTAAGTAAAAAAACAAGTTGTTGAACACTATATTTAGTGGGATCCCATTTTTGTGAGAAGAAAAATACACAAATCTTGGAGAAAATTCCAAAAATGTATACCAACATATTAATCAAAGGTATGTTTGGGTGGTAAAACAAAAATACTTCTTATTTTCACCTTTTTAGATCTGTTTATAATCATTAGTTACTTACCAAATTTTTACATAATAATACCTGTTCTACCTCACTTGCAGGGGTGTTAAAGGGCAGGAAAGTCTGTCACTAAAAATTTCATAAACATGCAGTTAAGGAAACCTTCCATAGCAGGATAGATACATGATGATCTTCAAAACAGTTTAGCATATAATTTCACAATGCATCACTAGGGCTGCTATGATTCATATTAGCAGGCACAAAATTAATGCTAAGGTTATGCACGAACAATTAGCCATCAAGTGTGAATCAATCTGGGAATTCACTCAGTACTAAAAGTACAAACCTAAGATTGTCTTCTGCATCAGTTGCATCAGGATGTCCTGGAATAAAACCAATTACAAGAGATCAAAAAGTCCCAGCCAATAAAATGATCATTGGATTATATAAAATATTAATAAAGCAGTGGCTATTACTGATATCCTAATTGCTGGTAGCAGGAACACTTTCAAATCCCCAGGAGACAGAATTAAATAAGTAGCTCTGGCAGAAGAATGAGAGCAAATGTGTAAATCGAATACTACTAAATTAAATTCTGTTGTCCTGGCAACCCTAATGCTTTGATAAATAAGTTACTCGACATCTTACAGAACTTGGAATTTATCACGTGTGAGTGAAAATTCAGAAGTGATTCCCTCTGTGTACTTGTCATGTGGCCAAACGATTTCTATCTCAAAAATAACTCATAGCCGTGGATTTAACCCCCAGGGGGCTGAGATGTAACCAGCTGGTTAGAAACTGAGGACTGCTCTGCACCAGCCCTTATCCTCTTTCACCGTCCTAACAGAACCCAGATTTGGTTTTGGCATTGACTCCGTGCCCACACGGCCCATGCTCTTCCTGCATTCTCCACCCTGCTTTGCCCCGGCAGCCTGAGCTTCATGGACTGTACCATGGGCTCGCCCAGACTTGGGCTTCCTGCTGGGTTTGGACAACAGACAGCCCCTGCGGGAGGTCACAGAGCAAGAAAAGGATAAAGCCAGGGTAGTTATTGCCCTGGCCCTCTCCCTGCAGACTGGCTTATCTCCTGGCCCACTGTCCTACAGATTGCCCACAGATTGCCTGGACCTATGGCATATCCGTCTCTAGGTTCTAGAAACCATTCACGGACCCACTCTGCAGGCCTGCGTGTGCTAAGGTTCTGCTGTTACTAGCCATGGGGACTGGGCTCTTCTATTGAATCTGTATATCCCTCCCCATCCTTATATAGTCACTTTATTAAATTCTCCTCAAATTACTCAATGGAGTATGTCATTTGTTCCCTGCTGGGACCCTAACTTATCCACCCCTTGCAACAGGGAAAGCTGGCCACACCCTCCAAGCTCTAGAAACTCACCGTTGTTTGTTTAAGCCAATCAGCACATTCCATTCCATCAACTAAGGAGTAGACAAAAGATATGGAGTCCAAGGAGGGTGAACCCCAAGATTCTCACTTGGAATCTGAGCCTGAAGTTGTCCCTCTTATGACAGATGATGCTGACACCCCACTATTCCCTATGCCCGTGTTCTTGCTGGAGGTGGGAAGAGCAGGAACAAGGATGAGTCCTAGAAGTTCCAGAGATTCCTTCCACCCACATCCGCTGGCCAGAACTCCGCCATATGGCCCCACCTAACTGTGGGGGGCGGGGGGTGCTGGGAAATGTAGTCTAGCTGCCAAGAAAGAAGAAAACAGAATAGTCTGAACAACTAGCCAAGTTCAACCTCACTCTTCCAGCAAGGCATAGGTTCGTGGGTCAGGACTACATTTGGTGGCGTGTAAAAGAAACTGAACTACAGCAACTTAACCAAATTAGGCTGTCGTTTGTTTGTTTTTATATTAGCAAGGAATCTGGGAGTAGGTAATTCAGAGCTGCTCAAGGCATCTGACTTCTCCTCCCTTCTTTCTCTGCTATCCTTAAAGCACAAATGATATCTCCTGGTTGCAAGATGGCCCTAGGTATTCTATCCAAATCCCTAGCAGGAAGAAAGTAAAAGGGCAAAATGAAAAGGACAAACAGAATGTGTCTGACAAGTTTAATCTCCTTTTACAAAGGCTTTTCTGGAAGCCCCATCTAGCCAACTGTCTCTTTCATGGCTCTGCTACCTTTTAAAAAGCATAGGGAAGGGTTGCCAGATAAAACAAAGAACATTTAGTGAAATTTGAATTTCAGATAAACATACATAAATTATACTAAAATAATTTTTAGTATAATTATGTATGTCCTATGCTGAGTAACCTGTTTTTTGTTTGTTTTTGCTAAATCTGCAAAGTCTAGCCTGGGGAGAAGTGTACTTTTTAATGGATACATTGCCTTTGGAAAAAAGTTAAGATTGTTGAAAAGCAAGAAAGGAAAATGGACATTGGGTAAGCAACTGGAAGTATACGTCTCAGTGACCATATGACCTAAATTGCCAATGGCACATAAGCAGAAGTCTGCTGGATATGGCTTCCAGGAAGTTTTCTCTTTCTTGTGATACAAGTAGGCAGACTTGACTTTCCTTGTATTGTAGATATGAGTCCTGGCACCCCAGCAGCCATCTTGAGACCATGAGGTAACTACATATCAAGGATGGGGAAACAGAAAGATAAGAGCCTGGTTCCCAAAAGGATTTTTGTACTACTGTGCCAACCTGGATGGCCTGTTCCATCCCAGACCTCTTAGGGCACACATCAGCCATCTCTCTAAGCTGTGACTATGACTATTCTTTCTCCATTTTCCCTTTCTCTTCACTTTTTTGTTTCCTTTTTTTTCAACAGAATGTATCCCCAACTGATATGTATCTCTTTCCTTGCACTCCATGATTATAGATGTGGAGCCAGGAGCTCGTGTCATGCCACTTTGTCAGGATGAGGGAAGCCACCTGAGAATTAACCCAAGAACAAAAGGAAGATATATCTGATAGAATTTCCCCAAAGCCAGACCCACCAGGTTACACTGACCCTAAAGCTCACACCTCCAATTACATGAATCAACAAATGTCTCCATTGTTTAAGATCGTTTGAGTCATGTTTTCTGCTCCTTGTAGGAAAAACATTCTAACTAATAAAACCAGATATTTCAGCCCAATACATATACTTCTAATGTATTTGACAGCATTTATCTCATTATACCAGGACAGTGGAATAAAATTAACATTAGGTGATATAACAAGGCTGACATTTCTAAGTAAGAATATGTACATTTTGCAGAACAAAAATTCAAAATGAAATCATACAATTTAATGCCTTTGTCAGGCATGTTTTTCCCCCCTGTTATTCTATGTGTTTTGTAAGGCCTGTAAATAGATTAAAATTTTTAGTATTAATTATTCCCAGTGGTTCTGTCGTTGTACACTAAACTGCATTTTCAAGTTTCAATAATTGGACTCCTGAGACTTGCAGAGAGGAAGAACATACGTTAAGATGTCATATTCTATTCTCAACATGTGACTGTCATTATCTTCTGACTCAATAATGCTTACAAATATACAAGCTATATATGAGCTACACTAAGTCTTTAAAATCCAGTAGTAGCTCGACATTTATAGCTATCCTCGCCAGCAGGAGTTAATTTCAGCTGGGATCCACTTACTGTTTCATGCATGCCTTCTAGGTTCTTTGGAAACACTGTAAAATATTTGGCAAAAAAAAAATAAAGAAAGAGAACCACGATCCATATCCTCAGTTAGGTTTTCGTTGACAGGAGCTGTGCATTACAGATGCAGTAGAAATGCTACAAGCAGAAACAGAGAGATACACTAAGTCTCAAGTCTATGTCGCACAAAGTGATTTGATCATCCTTATCAATGCCACCTATGGAAGAAAAGTCCTGGAATGAAAAACAGTCAGAAATAGTTATTTTTCTGAGTTGGCTGATGTGTGCAGTCAAAATCATTTCTCCAATCTTACCTGGACTGGTCCCTTTGAAAGTTTTACTTCTCTGATGAGGACGGTCAACTAGCTGTGCCCTCCTCTTGCACAGAGATGCCAAACCCAGTTAAATCAACTTCTAAAAACTGTCTGAGTCCTTTTATGGAGGTGAAATTTTGTGGTGACAAATGTTTGTTGTGTCAACTAAGAGGGCTATTGCCAAGGAACATGTTTTTGTTAGGGATCCTCAAACGAGCAGTGATTGTGTTGATGAAAATTGATCTGTAGGTGTGGCATTGTTCATTCCCAGAGGGTAGTTGGGGAAGCACAGAATTTCTCACCAATACTTAGGTGAGAAACCTTTCAAAAATGACCTGCCAAGGTACTATCAAATGTATTTGCTCTTATGTATTTGCTTTTAGCTAGCAAGTATGTTTCAGAGTTTAAAATTATTCAATTCTCTCTCTCCCTTTATATGTATTATATAATATTACATAATGTATATATTACATATATACTTCATACATATAATATGCTGTATATATACAGTGTTATTGCTCAGAGATATATATATCCTGTATGAGATACTTATATATTACATGTATAACAGATAATATAATTATATTGTATAAAATATGCATATGTATCAACTTGTAAATTTATGTATACCTGTAATGCACCAAAAAATTTATTTAATCTTTAAGAAAATTCATTGAAAATTAAACTGATGAACAAGTATTTCCCAATTAGTATAATCCTTGACCCAACTTTCCTTGGAAAATTTTCCAGCACATTTTTGGGCACCAAGCTCTGGATGGCTCCTCCCCTTCCTCAGAGTGCTCAGAGGAAGGAAGGAAAGACACACAACGGCTGGAAGGATAGAGGAAGAAACCATCACACATCATTTCTCAAGAATGGGTGACCATTTTCTACTTTTGCTGCTTTGGCGTAAATTAAGGACGCTTGGGTAAAAAAATGGTGCAATTGCATCGTCCTTCAGCTGTGTTTTGCTTGTTGGGTGACCAGGAACACCTTCAGATTTTCATAACCACACCTGCCTCCTAAGCCAGGTCCCTTAGCAAGTGCTTTTCAATGGCCCTGTGGCCACTCACCACTTCCACCAGCTTCTCCTGCTTCTACTCTAGCTTTGTTTTTGAAATACTTGCCATTTTTCATCATACCAAATAGCTGGCTTGACTACCGTTCTCACTCTTTTAGCTGCTGTGTCAATACTTCAAAACATTCAGTCAGTTAACTCAATTCAGTCAAAAATTGTCACAATGTTTAGCATTGTGTTGACACAGCCCATGGCATTGGAGGAAATACAGCTCATTAAGTTCTTAGTGATTCTTTATGGAGCAGAGCTACACACTGTAGCAGCTACAAATGTAAACAGACCACCATGACAAAAGGAAGGAAATGAATTAATACTGCACTCACCGTGTGCCAGGCACCCCGTTAGAACGTACCCACGTCTTATCTCAGCTAATCTCCCAATAACCCAAGCCCTTCATGCTGACCATTGCCTGGAGTTAGATTGAAACGATGGTTTATTATAGAGCTCCTGTTTGCACACTAATACTCAAAGAATGCAGAGAAAGATAGGCTTGATGGTCAAGTTTCACTTAATGGTTTAAGTTCCTTGAACTTGCATTTGGCTTTGTTGCCAAAGAATGTGGCTCCTTTAAGAAACGAGAATGCAGAGTGCCTGGTCTCTGCACCCAGAGAAAGTGGGCTTTAGAGAGAAACAAACACAGATGGGGAAACGGTGCTGGTGGAAGGAAGAAGAAAGGGGCAGAGAGGTGGACTGGAGGAAGCTTCAACCTGCAGGGCAGTGTCTATAAAATGCACGTGTAGAACAACACTGTCTGAATGCCCTACTGTGTGCAGTTTTACAGGGCTTTCCGGGGGATCTTAAGGAACCCAGAGGAATCACTAACTTGGCTAACAAGTAGCCAGGGAGTGTTAATGAGGCATTTAGTGAAGGTGCTCTAAGGACTTAGCAATGAGAATGTCCCCAGGCATAGAACATGGGCAGAAGACAGCCTGGGGCGACCTGGTCCGGAAGAGCAGAGAGTAAATAGAGAATACCCTTAGAAATGGTTCTGTAGCAAGCAGCCATTAACTGCGGTCTAAATGGAGTTCATCTATTAAATGAATCATTCTATTTTTGCTCCAAACATTTCTGTCTTTAAAAGAACAAATGAATATCTGTACATCATATACCTGTTCAGCTTTCATATTCTGTGCCCAGAGAAGGTCCAAGACCCCTGTCAGAGACACCAGTAATCATCTGGGAGGTAAAGACCACCTCTTCCTCAAAGGCAATAAACCGCCTCTCCTGGACTTTCATAAAAATATCAGCCCGGGAAGGGAGTTGTCACAGACGGAAAAGATTTTCCCCACAATTATAAAACTCGGCAGTTTCGTGTCTTGAATGGCAATAATATAGACAGATAATTAGATCCTCATTTCTGCTTCAGTGTTCAATTCTCAACAACTAATTGGTAATTTACTCCTGAATTTCCCCTTTGCCTATATCTCATTTACACACACACACACACACACACACACGAAATAAAAGGCAAAGAAAGGTGCTTGCCTAGCTTATGTTTTTGCAAATTAGGAATTTATATTTTGCACACCTTTTTTAAAAAATATAAAATAAAGCATTCTGTAGAGTTCCCAATGATATATTAAGATGCTGATGAGCCTTTATGCGTTTATTCTAAGGGCAAAAGGAAGGGAAGGAGGAAGGAAAAAACCAGGAGGAAGAAAGGAAAATGATCTCCCCAGTATAAATGGTGCACACACACCCATGCACACACACAAGCGTACCACACACACACAAACACAAAATTGTTGGGTACAGTGGGAGAAGGGTTGTTCAGGAGCTTTTTTTCTTGCTAACACATGCTATTTACAGAAAGCTCAGAAATTATCGTTTTTTCATTTTTATATACTATGTAATCACTTTTAATTGAATCTCTCAGAATTAATCACTGTTAATATTTTTAGGTAGATTCTTAGCATTAGCGTCTTTAATGAGAACATTCTGTGTTCTTTAGAAAAAAGAATAGGAAATAAATTAAAGCAGGGACCCTGCTGCCTCTCCCTGTCCCTATCTCCTGGGGTCTAGCTCCCTTCTCCCTGCCCATGAGTGACAGTGAAGTGTGACACCCACACCCCTGTGCCACCTCACCCCACCCCACCCTGACCCCTCCAACACCACGAGGAGAAGTCAACTTCTGCTTGGCCAGAGTCCTGATCCCCAAGTCTGGAAGATCAGATCTAAGTAATTAAAATGAACTTTCAGTCTCTCTGTTCTTACCTAACAAACAATTTGGTGAGATCTGCACAGATTAAGACTGTATGTCTAGGACGGGATTTCTTATTACAGGCATTTCATGATCATGAAATTTACTTTTGGGGGGATTCTCTGGAGCACCTGCCTCTGGGAAAGAATTGTCTCCAGATTTAGGGGACAGGACTTCATATTCATGGAGGCTGAAACTTACACAATTCAAGGAGGGGGGCTCTTTAAGAAAAAGGACATAAAATCATGCATGCAAAATGCAGCACCAAATCAGATACTTATTCAGAACGAGAAAAGAATTCACAACAAATAACACATCCTTGAGAACCTCGGATAAATGCCACAAATACCACAAAAGGCAGAAAAATGGTGTGATCTGTTGAAGAACTGGCTGGCCCACCGTTACACGGTTTTTCCACAGACTTGTTTCTGACTCTACTTGTTTCTCCGCAGTCCCCACCTCCTCGCAGGGGCAGGCAGTACCCTGGGACAAGTTCCTATCACAAGTGAGTCTCTGGCCGTTTGCCATCATCTCACAATTCCAGGCAGGTTGCCAGCGTGCAGTAGGGAACTCCTGAAACCCTTTCGTATGCTGGGAAAGCCAACAGCAATTTATCTAGAGAGAGACTCTGAACCACAGGAATATGGTCCCGCTAAACCCCAGCTAAATGTAACCCCAACTCAATGTCCCCTTAGCCCGATCCCCAAATGCCCCAATGCCACGCAACTCAAGGAGAAGTCAGAAGGGGGGAGGACACAGCACTCCCTACTAGCTGCAATTAAAATATCATACTTCTGCAAATTTTCCTAAACTACCATATGAACACAGTGCCCCTGGGAAGGGATCAGTGACATGACCCGCAAGGTAAAGCCACCCCTGTACTCACAATTGCCGAGAAAGACTTTGGGTTGCATCCGAGAGAAGCTGGCATTCCCCCCAAAAGCTAAAACCCATGCAGGGGTGATCACTAAATTGGGTGAAGTCACAGAATTTACCTAAGAGGTCCTGGTAGAGGAATCTAGAAGTTCCTCTCAAATTGAGGGGTGAGAGGCCAGCCACATCCAGGGATAGAGAAAGCCAACCAAACACGAGTCCCACATGAAAAGTCACGAGGGACAACGCTCCAAATTGCAGGTATAGATTTGCAAAGGAGCTGCTTCTTGCAAGGGTAACTCTATCTGGTTTGTTCCAGAGTGAGGAGCAGCAGCTTTTTATTTATTTAAGGGCGGTGAACAGCTCTCTTGAGCATTGCCAGGAAGCTGGAAATTTCTAAATGCAAACTGCCTTCCGACAATTTGAAAACCTTAAAGTTGATAGCACCCAGCTGTTTAAAAAAAAAAAAATGCAGGTTTGGGGTGTCATACTTCTGTGGATTCAAATCCAGGTGTTACTAGTTACTGGCTAATATGATCCCAGATGAGATACTTAGTCGCTTTGAACCTCAGTTTCCTCACCTGCAAAATGGGTTTAACTATATTTACTCTATAGGACTAGTGAAGATTCATGATATTTGTGACAATTCTGCCACAAATGAAATTTTCAGTAAATGGTAGCCACTATTATCAAGCTATCTTTCCCTTTACCTTGCCTGAGCACAAAGAAGGCACCCAAGATTAAGATTCCAGTTGTTGTGACCAGGTGCAGTGGTTCACATCTGTAATCTTAGCACTTTGGGAGACGAAGGTGGAGTGATTGCCTGAAGCCAGGAGTTTGAGACCAGCCTGGGCAATATAGCAAGACCCCATCTCTACAAAAAAAATTTTTTTTAATTAGCTAGGCATGGTGGCACATTCCTGTAGCACTAGCTACTCAAGAGGCTAAGGCAGGAAGGT